TATTCACCTGGAGTTAGCTTCTACGGTTAGTATGCGGCCGACTATTTTCTGTAGTCCTTGCGGACATAACCCCCCTCCCCCGACGGTCCCTTGGCGTGATTGACGCAGGCTGTGACCAGTCAGCCAGACGGATCTGTGGCCGCACAGAAGGTCGGAAATCTGAGCCTCTAATGCAGGGTTTTGTACAGTGTCATTATTGATCATGTGAAAACGTAGACATGCCTCGAAAAAGGCCCCTATCAATGATTTTTCAAATGGACTCGTTTGGACATGAGTCTCCAGGAGTTGCATGTAAAGTATAGCTAGGTCCAAACATGCCGCCAGCAATGTCATGCGTGTATGTTTTCCCATGCTGCATTTTTAGTAAGCAATTTTGATGCGGTCCTTTCTACTAAGTTAGAGCCAACATTATGACAACCCATGAATCAATTTAACACGGGCGACTTCAACAGTAACTGTATAAATACAACTTTCCAGTACAGACTCGACACGATAACCCTCACAAATACTCCAACTTACTAGAGGGCAAACTATTGTAAGCTATGACCATCGCAGATGACTTGCCCCGTAGTCCAGTAAGCTTCTATCTTAACGTCGAATCTATTGCACTTATTTTGATTGTCCCTTGTGCTCAAGAGATTTGGTCGAAGTAGAAACCATGTTTGATGCCACTAACGCTTTCTGTCCACACGTATCAGAAGAATTAAAAGTGGACTCTATTCGAGGTTATCAAAGGCAGGTCTTTTCAAGCGCCATTTAGGCGACAGGTTTCAGATAAGGCGAAGAAAAAATTACCTGTCGCTGATAATTCAGTAAATTGCAGCTGACTTCTCATTGTAAAAAATTTAGAACAAACAAATGTCCAAAGTGCCGTAGTCTGTATGGTTGCCATTTGGTCCTACGTTGCTCCCGGGGCTAATTTCTCTCGTGTCTCTTGAAACTTGACGCACAGTTATGTGCTATCAGCCCGCAAAACGAAATGTGCTGTAGGGACGCCGGACTGGAAGGGGGCTATTTGTGATTCGGCCTACACACGGTCAACGATGGCTCAATTGCCGCCATTTCTTCCGCGAGTTTAGTGTCAACGAACTTCCGTGGTGGTTGCTGTGAAGAAGTTCATATGTTACGACTACTATCACTTTTCAGAACCTCAGGAGGGATCCATTGACCCAGTATTCGGATGTCGAGAAGACCACAGCGTCAATTAACTGCATTTCTGTTAGCAAATATGATCCCAAGTTCTCACTTTGTGCGTAGAACCGAGACAGACGGCAAGCTCGTCCAGGGCGTTCGAAAAAGCTCATCTGCCCCAAAACCCAAAGCTCGCAAACAATCTACCACCTTCACCAGAACGTCGCCAACCGCCTTGCTCAGCCGGGAATTAGCGACGCTGAGCTGCCTGTCATGAATTTGCTGTAAACCTGTTCAGAACCATCATCAGGTATTCTTTACCCATTTAGGCAACAACAGTCTTATGCCCGTCGACTGGATACTGTCAAGAACCACTTAGCCTGAGGATATTTGAAGGCGTATCCGCATTCATGGGAATTTCACCTTCAGAGCATTATGTCGTCAGTGGCAGTCGACATAAGCATGACAACCGTTGAATAAAACGATTGAAATAGGAGAGACTCTTAATTTGCCCAGCTTCTTGACATCACGGCTGAAGAAGCATATAAAGCTTGCTGAAGTCGTTGAGCGGTATTCTGTTCGCCGCGGTATTTAGCTTTTGGCTGCATTTGCGGCCTCCATGAATTTGCCGTCGGTATAGCCAACGTCAGTGACGAAATTTTTTCGTTTAATCTGGATGTCCCCGTGACCGTAGGCTATCGCAGTAACCACATCTATTTCGTAGCTAAGGAGGACTGGGAAGGGAACTCTTCTACTTGCACGTGTTACCTTTACAATTATACCTAACTTATGCCACTCACGGGGCTTCTTCACGCACACAGCCATCTGCATCAGCAAATCTGCCTAACTATAGAGACTCTTTTTCACCTATGAATGTAGGAGACGTGATGGAGTCGGTTTTGAGCAAATTTCTGATTTTTCGCAGTAGTGACACCGATCTCGTGGAAATTGTGGCCAACGATGAATTCAAGGTATTTTAGTTGTCTTAATTGGTGGAGTTGCTATATCTATGGGTTATTCTCTCATCGAGAGTGAGCTGTTTCATTTTAGGCATTGTCTGTGTGCTTCATTTGCAAACAGAGACGAAGAGCTCCGCTTTTCTCTCTCCTTATGCAGTTGTTAAGAAGAATAAACCTAATCGTTGTACGGTGCACATGACCGCATAGTGATTGAATTGTTATGACAGGTTCACTAACACTCTTAAATACTAGCAAGCCCTCTGTGAATAGTGTTACTTTGGATGCGGCCGTCTTGCTCACTTTGTCGGTTTTGCAGCAGCGTGTTCGCGATATATTTGAAGCTTTTGATCGCCAGCGCCGATAGCAGATTACTTTCTCTGTTTGTGAGGTAAACTTCGCCCATTCAAAACTGCCTCTCGAACCTATCCCACTAACTTGCCTATCTTTGTGACATTTGTGACTCCGACGTAGGACACAGTGATTGTACCGTTTGATGTGAAAGCTGCGAAGTTTGGGTCTACACATACACTGTTTGGTGCTACCACTTGCGGCGTTTCGCCTTCTACCAAAATTCCACTCCTCAACTGGTTTCACTTACTCGATGTTCGCCTGAATACTAACTGCCCTCAGATATTGCTTCCTGTCTAACAACACCATTCCGCCCTGCCGTGTCATCAACGCATACCTAAGGCTAGAATGGTGCTGCTTTGTACTTTAGAATGCACAGTAAAACTAAGCGATCAAACACCTCATTCACTGACCAGACCCAAACACAATCAGAATGCTGATTATCATGGTCAATTCGACGGGGGAACTACGAAGTTTAGGGACGTCCTCGTAAAAATGACTAGTTTGGAGGGCATAGCACTAACCACATTTGAATTAGTTTCTCCATTTTTTAAAAATATCAGAATGGCTTTGCTTCGTTCCCCGGAATAGCTGGGGTGTAAGGAAATCTTTATAATACCTTTTCGAATCACTCGAGATGACGTCGGCGCACGTAAGTTGTTGTCAGTGGGAGTGACGGGAGAGTAACTGCGTAAAAGATTGCATCAGCTGGCACTTTGGTTATAGTTGAAGAAGGACGTTGAATAACTCGACAATGGGCTCCCCCAATGTCCCTGTAGCCTATTTGACGGAGTTTTTTTGGACGCCTCTTCATTTTATTCTGATGGGCTGGGTCGTCGTTATCCAGAAAGGCGTAGAGGCATATGCAGCTTCCAGTGTCGTCAGTGACGAAGGTTCGTTGCGACTCTCATGTCATGTCAATATTGCCTTCAGTCGATCCGTACGGACTGCGTTGCCTGACCACTCTGTGCTTTGCTTCTTGCCTCTCTGGCGATATGCAGTCTTTTGGTTTGCGCACTCCCCGATTTGGATGTGTGAGCGAAGCCTCTACCATTATGTTCTAGAACACGACTCATACCTTATCTCAAGGCAAGTCAAGGTCGCAGCGTCCAAGTAGGTCCAGGTGGTTCTTGACGCCTTGACGATAGCGGTGAACTGTTTCGTTGCATTGATCCACACGAACTTGGCATGAGTTAGGTCGACCTGACTTTGGAGTGTGCCATCTGAGCTGTGCACTTACGTGTCTTGGCTCCATGAGTTGGGCAGTGGTCGACAACCGCACTACCGTTGTGTTTGTCTTGTAGTGGTTCGACAGTGGTCCTGTGATCGAACATATTCCATGAGATTTCTTTGGGAATTTCGGATACGGCCGGCTCCCCAGCAGCCGCTCAGATTGCATGTTACAGGTTGTCTCCTTTAGCGCCTTGGCTTAAAAGCCTAACCATAAGGCAGCGGTGGCAAGCAAACTTATTTAATGGCGGTTCACGGTCACCATGTCACAATACCGTCACTGGGTTTTGTGGCTTTTTATAAGGCTTTCAGCGTGCAAGACCTCAGCCCACCGCACCCTGGTAGCAATGTCGCTGCTTGTCCGCGACTGCTTATTCGTCAGATCTGGGTCTGCTTATTTCGCAGCGGACCTTCACTGCAGATCGTCCCACTATCCGCCACCTGTGGACTCCCCGGGTAGCCAGCAGCTAGGCTAACGGGCAACCCATCTTCCCGGGCAACCGCTACCCCATTTGAGTCGTCGAAGAGGGGGTTAGTTCAAAACCTGGCTCGACACTGTTCGTCAAGACATGGAGGTGGTTCTTGGACCTTCGGTATTCGGTCTACGTCGTTGGCGAAGGGAATAGGTTGAGCTGTCCAGATCTCCTGCCGCGGATCGTCACGCGTTGAGAGGTACAGTTCGTGACATCATCGAGGCCGGCTAGATCAGGCATGATCGCAGCCGTATCAAGTATAGGTCCAAGTAATTACAGTGGTTCTTCTCCTACATGGGTGCCAGGCCATTTGGTATCCGTCGCATATGTGGATCCGGTCACAGTCGACTTACTTTATCCAAAGAAACCAAGACGCACCGATTACTCCAAACAGAGGTTTGCCCTCTGAGCCAGCTCTAAAGAAATATCGACCCGTGGTCCAGAAGTAGGCCACCGGTCGGTAAACGGTTCCACCTGAGTACGCGTTTTTTCTGTCTGTTCGGGTCTCTCTTTTTTCTCACTTACTTTTTCCTTACCGTGGTGTCGTGTAGGCCTTTAAAAATTGCTCAGAAGTTTCAAGTTTCAGTGGATCGCCTGCTCAGGAATTATTTCTCCGTTTTGCCTTTGTCTTGCCGACGCTTTTATTTGCGTTTGGTGAACCCTTATTTCCCCCGCGTTTGCTTTTGCCATACCCCCACGTGCTTTTTTCTTCAATAGATTCTCCGAAAGGCATTCCGGCATCCTTCAATGAAACAGCATGCCGAGAAAGAAGTTGAAGCCGAGGCCAGACAATAATGACCAACAGGGAACTGCAGCGACGGGAACAGCGAATGGGCAACTGAACGCTCGAGGCGAGACAATGGCCCCATGTGTCCCTCTTCCGACGTCGGCCTTCTCGCCCAGGCAGCGCATATCTTCTGCTCAGGAACCTCTGGTCAGTTCCTATGCAGGCACATCTTATGAGAGCTAATGATGGAAGTAACTCTCATGGGTCCTCGGCTGCACTCCTATATGTTCCTACCGTTTTCAGGGCATGAATGCCTGAACCAAAGTCTACCTTTGTTACACTTAAGGACTCTGGTATTGTTTTGTCAACCGGTGGAAGATGGTTCGGGATTATTTTAGTTAACCATCTTTGAAAAACCGTAAACTTCAGGCTAAACCCTCCGTCAGTCCCCTCAAACGGTTCTCCCCGTTCGGTCATCTTATTCTTTTTTTAAACCAGCTACCGCGAATTGCGGGATTTGATTCCTTGGCGAAATACACATGGGAGGACTCTAGTTTCCCCCTTATTTGGATGAAGTGGTTGAAAGGGATGCCCAGTCAGATCCACAAACCGGACTTCCAAGTAATTAAAGGACGAGAGAGCCCCCCCCCCTCATGCATCGTGATGCAATGGTTGACCTTCGGACCAGTTGACCTCTGGAAAGCCTTTCAACCCAGCCTCACATTTTCTGCCAAAACTGCGTGATCAAGGAATCGATTCCGGTGAAACCTTGGTCTTGTCAGACCTGGCTACACCCATAAAGTCTCTTCCTCCGGATACGACGTGTGAGCACTGAGTTGGCGACTCGTTGGACTCCCCTGCCAGGGCCAAAGTCACTGTCATGCAACTTTTCACATTCCATCCAAGGAAGTTTTTCGAATTCTCTGACGAGGTCCACGAATAGCCAAAAGGGACACTCATGAAGTCCCCCCCATTTCCGAATCGATGGCTGGACGACTGAGCCCCTCAGGAATATAAACCAGTTGTCCATCGACGGCATGTTGGCGACGCGTTTGTAGCAGTCCAGAATCCGTGCAAACGTTTCCGGCTTTGCTCAATTAGATCTTTTCAGTAAGATGTGGTTATGCAGCCCCACCTGATGGACACAATATTGTTGAGATTGGGGTTAGGGGTTACGGTTGGGGGTAAAGGTTAGAGTTAAGAGTTATGGTTAGAGGTTAGGGCAACTATTTCTCAACCGCCCAAAGTAGAATCGCGCATTCCCAATAGCATCACTTTTGTATACAACAACTTGACTTCGCCACCTGTGCGTCCTCCGGCCCCACCTGTAAAACCCCCATTTACCACCGGTCCCGTATTACAGGTTGTTGCGGTTTGTTTACTTCAGGTGGGGCTACATAACCTTATCTGACCACCTTTTCATATGCCAGACTTGCAAGGAAGCTGATGCTCTTATAAAAAGACTGACGAGAGGCTACCCAGAAACGACAGTGTTTAACAAACAACCGAGATCAGCGGTTTTTACGCTATCCACCTGATGGCTTCGTGAGGCTTATGCACGTGAGAATGCGCACACACTGCAGCACACAGGAGACAAAAAGGAAGGAAGAAATGGTTACTCACGAGCTTCTAACAACTGTTCGAAGCTGCAGTGCCGCCTTAAAACCGGTGCTCCAGGTTCTACCGGTCGCTACCACGTGCAGCCCAATAATGCGCCGCAAAGTCCGACAAAACTTAGGCAAGCAGTCGTCGTCTGCCACATTCGATGTGCTGGTTACGCCTGCATCTATGCGGGCCAAACGGGGCGAAAGTTGCATTCTTCACATCTTGAACAAGAAAAGCCTCCGAGACTGTGAATCTCCCACCGACCGTTAACTTTGCCCTTGCCTATGTTTGCTGTGCCTTGAAACAGTTTTTAAACAGTTTTAGACCTTGGTAAACTTGTAATTTGGTAGCTCCACAAAAAGTGTTAAAACTTTTACGTCCACGACAGGGTTTCTGGTTAGGTAAATTGAAGGGAACAATTTACTAAATCACCGGTCTGCCCTGTCTGCGGCACAGAGGTAGACATTTCTGTTTCTACCGTCGAGTATTTGTAACAGTACTTATTGTCCATTTTCGTCCGGTGACTGGATGTCTACCAAGTGAGAAGAGGGAAACTCAGTCAATAGAAGAAGAATTTATTTGTCCGACGTTTCAGATCCACACACGAGCCCATCCTGAAAGACAGAAAACCATTTAGCTTCCCTTTCCATGTTAGTAGCAATTTTGAATTAACTGATGGTTTGATCACAAACGTTTTTGGTCGTGCTTTCGATTACTGTTTATCTACCGCTATTCAAGAAGTCCCGTCTCGAGTTCCAAGACAAACACGAGGCAATCTGTTCCGTCATGCAACGAAGCCAGGTTAGCACTCGCTGGTCCAGTTAGTAGCAATTTTGAATTAATAACTTAATCACATACGCTTTTGGTCGTCGGTCAACTGTAAGTTATGCTTTCGATTATTGTTTATCTACTGCTACTCAAGAAGCCCCGTCTCGCAACGAAGCCAGGTTAACGCCCACCGGTCCAGTGTGACGTTAGATATTTATTACTAGAACGCCGGCCTGCCTCAGGTCTCCGGTTATAACGGATGTCTGGAAAAACTCTTAGCGAAAAACTACTGCGCCACTGCGTGGGGCTAGTATGTAACCATCTTTTCTACTCGTCTTTTTTATGAAGTCTTAATTGCAACCACTGTCTAGCTAGGGCAAAGACGGCTAACCACCAGGCACCCAACGCTGGAGTAGACTACGAAACAGTAAATTTGGAGATTGGGTGGGCAAAATCACTCAGTAATGAGGGATAAACTTGGCCGGAGGTAGTCGGTGGACCATGTTTACGCTCCCTATGCCGAACTTGTGTCCCCCCTTGGGTATCCAAAGCACTGCCAATAGAAGCGAAGAGACGAGTCCCAGGAAGTAGTCTTGAAGAAGGAGACACGATAGCGGTCTGATGCTGTCCGTAGCATCCATTGCGACGGTTACGTCCGTAATTATACAGGTCAAAAGGGACGGAAGTCGTCATTCCGCCTTGTTTACATTAAAGTAATTTGGCGAGCCGGCAATACTAGACGCAATTGAGGCGTACGAACCGGCTTACAGATGCGTCTAGCCAAGTCCTCCCCGTTTATCCAGTAAACCAATTCCCAACCTCATCAGCAGAAAACTTTTCGGGGCTACCTACCTCCCCACCGGCTGCTAACCTTGTTCAGGCATATGTTCGCTGTTCTCTGAAATGTGAGCGAAAAGTTGTAGACCTTGAAATTTGGCCACATAGACTAGAACCGTGTTGCAATCCCTAGGTCTACGACAGAATTGCTTACCGGATTAATCGGACTTGGCGGTATAATAAATCACATTGTGCGACAGAAATTGGTTCTTCCGTTTTTGGCCGTTCAGTTAAGGATTTGTGGCCCACGGAGGCGGTCCTACAGCAATCCAAGATGCTTACTGCAATCAGGTTAGACCGGTACACACAAAATTAATGCCGTTGGATACTCATGAATTTCGAAGATGTGATTGCTGGAACCGATATTTAATTCGCATGAAGTTTCCGGTCCACGCACGATTGCATCATCAGAGACGCAGTCACCTAGCATCCCCTTGCCTGTGGGTGACAGTTTTTAATATATTAACAGCTTGGTCGCATAGGTTTTTGATCACTATTAAACTGTTAGGCAATGAGTCATGCTTTTGATTACAGTCTATTTACCGCTGTGCAGCTGCGTGCCGGAACGCATCTGTTCCGTTCTGTGACTGTCCTGTCCGCTTTCTGCACGCTGTTCGAGTGTGACAGGAGATGTTTACTGCTATAAGACACCGATCGCCTACGCGAGCCTACTTATAGCAGATGGTTGGAAGCCTATGGTGGTACTGCGTGTGGACCACTATGCAACTAGTGTTTTGCGCTTGGCCGTGTCGCAGTACGTCTCTGACATTCTCTTCTGTCTGGAGGAACATACATTTGGCGATTTCGGCCAACTTTCCTCGCGTAGGTTGGCTGGAGCCAGGGCGTGGGACCTTAAAGTGCTGACCACGAGACACCCAACGCTGTAGTTGACAATGAGACGTCAATCCCCACATGGCTCTTAGGGGAATTGCTATACAGTTACGATATGAAGCGAGCAATCATTTATCATGTGGTGAATTCGCGTCACCAAGCCGGCTGAATTAGCAGTGATTATTGTTCTCACTAGTACAAGGAAGCGGCGACGGCGTGGAAAGTGTTAGGTGCGAAATCAAAGTATGAGAAAAAGGTCAGGTCGCAGTTCGTAGCCCGCAATGGGGAAGCCAACCTAACACTAAAACCTTAACTCTTATCGTAAAACCTTAACCAAAACGCCAACCCAACAACCTTCCCCTAACCCGGACGGTAAAATTTAACACTAAAACCCCAACCCTAGCCCCAAACCCTACCCCTAACTTTATAACTAAAACCTAACCCTAAAGTCCTAACACTAACCCATAATTGCAAAACTTAGCCTTAAGCCCCAGCCCTAACCTTAACCCTAAAACCCAACGGCAACCTTAACCCTAAGCGCTAACCTCAACCCTAAAACCTACCACCAACTCTAACCCTAAGGTCTGACCCTAAACTTAAAGCTAAACCCTAAGGCTAACCCAAAAATCCTAACCCTAACTTCCAACCCTAACATTAACCTTTAAACCTAACCCTGACCTTAACCCTAAAACCTAACCCTAACCTTAACACTAAAACCCTAACCCTAAAACTTAATCCTAAGCCTAACGTTAACCCTCAATAAGTCCAAAAACTTGACCGAAACAGGCGACCTGCCTGACTCAGTAGAAACACACCTACTGATAACAAGTTTCCTCGATAAGGAAAACACACTTGCTGATTACAAGTACGTCGACAGTATCAACTCATAATGTCTGGCTATGAACTGCGATCTTACCGAGAAAAAAAGTTCAGAATCACGCTCTATGTTAGTAAGGTTTTGTTAATGAAAATGCCCGTAGACTTATAGCTTTGACCTCGGTTAGCCCTCCGTCGTGGCGTAAGGCATATCCTCCTTCCGCACTCACTCCATTTCGCGGTTGCCAATGTTTTTTTTTACATTCACAACATGCTTTCAGCAGTCGCAGATGCTATTCAATCATCCAGGCCCGGTGCAAGAAGCCGCTCAGTTTTTGTACCATTTAAAGGGAGGCCACATCTGCCCTGACAGCGTGATCTTGATCTTACCCTAGTTGCCGCCTTCTGATACCGGCGAGGACGATGGACACTGTCGCTTGTTTTCACGTTGCTACGGCAACGTCGTATCCTCTGCATCCTCGTCGCTGTCTGGGCGAGAGCGGTCGGAGGACGAAATTCGCGCTCGCCACATGGCGAGGACGGAGAACCGCATGCGCCAGCGCCTCCTCGACTTCTACATGACGCCCTGCGAACGGTGGCGTAAAAAGGGCGTATTTCCCTTCAAGATGGTGACGCAGTTTGTCAAGCTGATTGCCATCACTGCACAGGTTAGTTCTGCCCTCCTCCCCTCCGCGTTCTCTACCCATTCGCCGAGTAGGACGTGGTATGCCTACGGTGTTCAGCCTGCCTCGTTAAATGCGTTTCCTATTAGGAGCGTTTTCTTAGGTCGAATTTTACTATTTATTATCGTTCAGGAACGGTGATTTGCGCGTGGATTAGTTTAACGTGGTATTAGAATCTACCGCACTCTCTTTTCCCTGCCCCCCACCTGGACCCGGTGTCAAGGCAGAGTCAAGAAGACTGGAGGTGGGAAGGAGAGGGCGCAGGTGGCTGGCGCGGCAGGAGCCGCACCTAGGCGTGCCACCACACTTCTCGATCCACAACAGACACTTGACCAGGATTTTTCGCCAACAAAAACAACACCGTAGCAGGGGCTAGAGCAACGAGGACGACTGGGCAGCCATGCTCACCGTCTGTGTACCTAGCGGGAGCGCAAGCGCATCTGCCGGCAGGGAACCAGATGTCGGGAAGCTGCCAGCGCATACCAGGCTGCGATGGCCATGGTTTGCTGGTACTGGCATAGCACACGCTTACAGACCTTTTGACCATCTACTGAATAAGTAGTGAAGCCCAGTCATGTGCGGTGGAGAATATTGCCTCCCTCTCTGAGGACTGATTTTCATTGAAGTATTCTTATTGCAACACTGGACATTTCACTTCGATCCTCCCTGCATCCTATTTTTCATTTTGTCTCTGATTGCTTTGAGCTTTTCCTTCCTCTTACCTCCCTCCGTCAGCTCATCCTATTTGGCTCACTGAATTCAACCCGGGTCAGTTACGGTGAGCGGGCCGTAATAGCCTTCAAACACCTCTACCTTATTGACTGGGATCCGCAGTACGAGACCCTGCCCTATCCGCCTAGCACCGGCATCTACTCCGTCTACACCCGAAAACGCTTCTACCAGAGCATTGGATTTGCAATAGAACAGGTTCGTTCTGGCAGTGCGGAGTTCCATATTTCCTGTCCTGTCGGCAATGTTTGCATGCCTGTGTCTGTTTCGCCGTAAGAAATCTGCTTCGTCTGTGGGGAGGGGAGAGAGTAAACTACTCGAGACGCCTGCGCTTGTGCAACAACAACAAGGACTCTCCAACCTGCCGCCCCCCCCTCCTCCCCAACGCACCGACCACCGAACCCTCCACTCGTTGCCGGCAATTCAACCGTCGCAAGTGGCGAGGTCCACCACCGCCCCGGAAGGTGGATGCAACCATGACTTGCGCAGAAATTATTTATAGTGAGGCAGACTTGCGTTGCATCTACCTCGATCTCTCTTCCCACACTCACTTCACTCTGATGGCAAGACGGCCGAAGGTGGCCTGCGCGCAGTGACTGACAAGACAGGGCAACCCAGAAGATGAAGATGCGATCACTGGGACGCCCTGACGCATCTTCATCTTCTGAACTGCTACCTGGGACTCTCCTGTTCGCTTCTACAGGGCAACCCCTCTACGCGGACCACACACACGCGTGCAATAAGGGACACGTTGAGAAGTAGTCATTGCGGTCCGGCTTCTATTTTTGAATTGGACCGAGTCATCCCATAAGTCGACAGGCCCCCAAGCCACGGTATCTAGCACACCGTAATGGTTGAAACCCTTTTATGGTTTTTTAAAGGGGAGTATTGATTGTTAGATCCAGATTGCATAACGTCACTCTCCCCCTTCCATGTTCCAGTCTGTTTTTTCGAGTTAAACCTATCTATATCTTCAGCATGCGTTGTGTGAGGCGCGTGTGTGTGGCACGCGTAGACAGGCTATTCTTAATTCTGTCAGCTACCTTCTTCCCCCCGATCCAATCCGGAGAGAGTGAGGTGAACTCTCTGTGCCTAATTTCCCGCCACAAACAATCAGACACGCTTGATACTCCCACGATGCGCTAAAATCCTTGTGCCTTGGAAGGTTGTCAATTAACGCTTCAACTCAGATTAGTGCAGTGTGTGTGTTTGTGCCTTGAGTGGTGACTGAGAGTCAGACTACGATGGTTCCTTCTCACACATGTGAGATCAGGACCGCCTACCCCCTTTTTCGTGTGCGTTTTGGGGGGCTAGAGCGTGCATGTGGCGCGCGAGCGCAGACAGACACTCTAGCTCTATCAGTCACTGTGTCCACTACCCACATCTGACAAGTGACCCACTCCGACAGCGAACTGGTGGCCGAAAGTCGAAAGAGAGTGAGCAAGGTCGACGGTCTCAGCGCATGCTCCTCCGTGTAAACAATCTAATGCGCTTGAACCTATCGCGGTGTACATTTCGCGCTCTTAATAATCTCATAAATTTATAAAATTTTAAAAAAATTAAAAAAATGTAATTATACAATTATGATAAAAATGTTATCAAAATTAAAAATTTTAAAAATGTATAATTTTTTTATATAATTGTAAAATTTTTAAAATACTTTAAAAAATTTACAATTTTTAAATTTAAAAAAATCATAAAATTTTTAAAGCGAACGACACTTTGTTTCCGGGTACAAACTTCGAGCAGATTAGGATGCTTTCTATAAAATGTATTTGAATTTATAAGGGCATCAAAAATCAATAAAAAAATGCATGCTGCGTGAGTAATCATTTCTTTGCGCCAGTTGTTCTTTCCCCAGACGGCCGAAAAGAAATGCATCCGAACTCCTGCATCTTGACATGTCTGAAATCTCTTTAGATTATGCTGCCCGGTAATCGGTATTAGAACGCCACCTAAGTAACCCCTCCTAGTTGAAAACGCATTTCAGAATTTCAGTTAACGTTTAATGAGGTGGGCCACCTACGGGACATCGACTCCTGAAATAAAAATTATGCCCACCACAACCTCGAAATAGTGGAGGAAATATCACAGTCAGTCTGGACTGCGCTTGATTAATTTTGTGGGCAGGACATTCCTAACGAGGTCGGTTGTCGGTGCTTCTTCGCCATCTTGCATCAGGCGTCTTCTGGTTCTATAACTTACCCGTCTTCCTGAGGACCCATCTACGAAAAACGGCCAGAGGGACATCTGGTGACACTTCACACCCTGACCCCCCCTCTCTCTCTTTCATTGTCAGCGCTGTGCTGCTTGACAGTGGCTACCTTCACATAACTATTCATTTCCTGTCATCAATTTAATTGCTGATTATCCTTCCCTCCTTTCGAAACAGTTCAACTTAACAGAGGAAATAACCATCAGCGGTTATTCCTTCGCCGACCGCAACCGAACCGTGCAATTTTGCCTAAACCAGGTCACCCCCAGCGGCCGTCACACAGGCAATTACACCGCAGACAGCCGTAGTAAGTTGAAACCCCCCTCCCAACACACAAATGACCTTATGTTGTTCAAGGCAATTCTTTTTATTGTACGATTATAAATATTCTTGAAGGTTGTTGAGCCTCCTCGTCGCTATTCATCATAGTCGTTCCCCCTGAGTCTGGGATGTGAAAGAAACGGCTTTTTGATCTCTGAACCCGGTCTCCCTGGCGGATCACTCGATAGTTCGTCACTCGAACTCGTCGAAGACTATCAACACCTGGGTCAGCGAGCAGAACTGGCCCCACCGCTCCCATTCCTTCACGCTCGCTCAGTGGTAGGTATACTGGTCCAGTCGCGCTGGAGATGATGTCTGACGCAGCACGAAGCCTCTGTCCTCTACCTGTCACACACCTGCCTTCAGGCGCCAGATAGTTTAGCGCTTCTCGGGGAAGACTATTTTTGGAATGGGCAGGTTTATGGGTCTGACGAGTACGCAGTTGCGGGCTATCCAGTGGTAATGCCCTCAGTCGTGGCCGGACACTGATCAGGCAAATTAATTGCTTTATTCGAAAATGCAGAAACGGTGCTACGACATGGGCCTAGTGTTGCTTACAATCCAGTTGTACCTCACCCGCGGTTTTACACAGTTCTGAAATCTCAGTCCAAGATATGGCCCCTCCTGTAGTCGTTCCACCCAATCGCCGTCTAGCGAGTCTCGACTTAACCTCGTTTTCGGCCGATCAGGACTATGATCCACGTGCCTTGGTCGGACATGTCGCGGTCTGTAGTGTGGACAAGGACGATTTTCTGCCCTCAAGCTTGCAGCCCGCAGGCCAGTCAACCCGCTCAACCATCAGCACAACGACTCGTCCAGCGATGGGGAGTCTATTGGCGTTCGCTGATCGGTGAACGCGCTCACGCCGCACCAGTGCTTGCCGCTGGTCATTCATACGATCTGTCGCAGAAATACACCTTCACATTCTCCATCCGAAGGCCGGCCGTGATTTCGTCTTAACTTCTGAATCCCAACTTGCGCCCAAGCTCCAAATGTTTTGATTGGCTGGAGCGCCCGACTATGTTAGCAGTATACGTGCACTCTGCAAGCGGGTTCCTGTTGAACGATGTTTGCTGTTATAGGCTACCCTCTGGGTTACTATTCAGTCAACAAAGTTTCTGCCTGTTAATTTATGATTTATAACTAGTTAATCTTAAAAAGAAAGTTTTTCCAGGACATGGAAGGTATTTGAAACTATCCGATGTTAAGCCTGACGCTGTACCAGTGAAGCACAGAGCTGTCGGGAAAATAGAAATCACGGAGTAGTCCCGAAAAGCGCGTAGTACGATAGCGTTCGGGGATAACGCAGGCCGAAACCTTGAAGTTAAAAAAGGAAAGCTTCAATCACCACGCCCAAGGGGTGTCTATTGTTGTATTGACTTTGGGTGGACGAATAAGCATTGCCTGCCAGGGTAGTCAGCCCAATCTATGAAAATTGTGAATGACATAGCACTAACTGTGTGTTTGGCTCTGTATGGTGATCGTCAAACGGGACGCGTCTGGGTCCGGTCAGCACTATAACGTCAGACCGTACCGAGCCTCCTTTTGAAATCACTGGCGACGCGTTTGGCTCTGTTTAACCACCAGGCGGGCCTCGCTGTTGTTGCCTTAGACCAGAACGTAAGTTGGGCTGTACAAGGCATGCAGGAGTTCTTAACCACTGCGTTCCATGCGCCTCAGACGCCGCGTCTGACAGTGCATCCCATCTCAGCACCAGTCCTTCGACAGACCACTGGTTTATGACACTGAGGTACATCTCTCCCATGACACTTCTACCTGCAACAGCTATGACACACTAAAGGTCTTGGCTTCCAAGGCCGCCGACTAACGTGGCATCTGAGTCCTCCGTTGGATTGCAATGGCTGCTACCCCTATGTCATGCATGGGAGGACAAAGGAGTGGTTTTGAGGGCTGCCAACTGACGGGGCAACTCCGTCCTTTCTCAGGACTGCCCCTTTATGGCACTGCCCCTCACGTGAGGTCCGAATCGCCCTCACGGAAGCGTTGTACATTCAGTGGGGATCGCATCACTTGCGTGGCGCGTGTAGACGAGCTATTTAGATTCTTCGGCTCTTTGGTGCTCCCAAGTAAATCAACTTGGCTTTCCCTTTTTGCGTGGTACAGCGCGCTTGACCATGTTTCTTTCTCTCCCTCCACCCCCCACCGTCCCATCACTCACTCGTAGACTGCGTTTCCGTTTCCATCTTGGATGTTCCAGTTGGAGAGGTCAAAACAGCCGAGACAGTCAAGCGTTTTCTCGCCGCCCACAACATCATCATCGACTTCATGCGGTAAGGCTCCCAGGCTTCATGCGGTAGACGCAGTTTTGCCCTGTTCACTGCACATTTCCTTGTCCCTCTGAGGGTTGGTGGACACTGATGAGCCTGCAGCCATACGGAGCACTTTGCTGCGCAGCGTTGTCACTCTGTTCTGACCAAACCTGACTACCGGCTGTCCTCTGTGACTCCGAGGCTGTGCCGCGCCCCTGTGGACCCCAGAACGGACTACGCTGTAGATGCGCTGGACCAACACAGGGGCTAGATCAGAGTCCAACAAGCGTTATCAGAAATGCACGCCCATAACAAATCTCGACGCTCGGTGGCTTACACAGCGCCAATTTGGATCCGAGCCGTCCCCCAATATTTGCTGTTGTTTAAAACAGGGGATGTGGAGGCACGTCAAGGCACGGGCACACATCGTGCCGACCAACTGCGCCCTCCCCCCACCTCCGGTCTTCTTGACTCTGTCACGACACTGGACCCAGGTGGGGGGAGGAGGAGGAGCGAGTGCAGTCGGTGCTGTGCAAGTCTACTATCAGCATAAACTAAGTCACGCGCAGGTCGTCGTTCCTGTGCCCTACTTTTGTTGTGATATAAAATCCTGGTCTGTCTGTTGTGGACCAGAGGGTGTGGTGGTACTCCTAGGCGCAGGTCTTCGCCGCGCTTTCCACCTGCGCCCTCCCCCCGCCTCCGATCTTCCCGACTTTGTCTAGCAACCGGACCCAGATGAGGGAGGGAGAGGCAGTGCGGCAGACGCTGCGCGAGTCTACTATCACTTTAAACTGCCCCACACGCAAGTCACATCCCTGTCCTCACCCTGCTTTGGAGCACACGGTGGACATCGTCGATCACGACGGCCGAACTGTCGACCACACCCTTGTAACTGGTTCCACTGACGGACGAAACCGGCCAAGGTCTGGTTCTGTCGTGAAGGTAAAGGGAAATTGTAGTCTACTGATACGCGTCGACGGGATGCTTATTCACTCACTGCGTCCAAACGCATCTCGCAGGTCCAGTCTGCTGTTGCACGAGTCCACTCCACTAATCAAAGTATCGCGTGAGTCATTTCTGCCGCCTGGAGAATGAACTATTCTCAACGTCATTATGGAAAGGGGGCTCGATGACATCGATTAAGTAAGTTTGTATGTTTTTGTCCAATCGCAGGATGGACTACCGGACTCCCATTTTGCCCCAGGGATTCGGCCAGAGCTCTTTCAGGCGGGCGCACAACGGCGATCAACCAAAAATTTGGAACTATGACCAAAACTTGTATATGGTCTCCGGGAGGGCCGTTTCCGGCTCCTCGGCCGTCGTCAGTCTGAGTCCGCCATGCTATCAGGTCAAGGCCATGAACGCCACTTCTGTTCGAGCTCAAGCTGGTATCTGCGTGGGATAGTTCGACCGCCCCGACCGACGAAGTCCACCTCATGTCCCACTGAGGGGGGGGGGCGTGAATTAGTCTATGATGCGGCAGGATTTCGCAGCACCCAGCATACTCCTTTTTCCCTTGCCTATCTTGCTCAGATTAAAAAATAATGTCAAGACAATCAGAAGTTGGTACGGACGCAGTGACTGATAAAGCTAGATGACCTGTCTACGCGTATCACACGCACGACCTGATCCTCGCCGCGTGTATCAGGCGTAGTTGAAGACCTGACACTCCGTCTTGCAGTCACTCGCAAATGCTCTCCGACCACCAGCGGCATGATTTTGCTACAGACCGTGAGCGGTCGCCAATAGTACTGTGTCCTCCCTTGGAGAATAGCCCTCTTGCGTCCACGTAACCTAGTCTTCTGTTTGCCTGTATAGCTGTCCGGACGGTCGACACAGGCATTCCACTACACTCCCTGGCCTCACCGAAATAGGACCATAATGCTCAGAATCTTCTCATTGCAGTTGCACGTTGTCACTGACTTCCACACGGTGTTATCAAGCAGCAGACGAGTTCACTGAATTTGCTGTTTCTTCCTTCTGACCCAACTCTCATTCTACATAATGTTCGCCTTTCCTTTGTTCTCCAGCCTTCAAACCTTCCAACTGAACTTTCAACTCTCTTCTCCCTCGATACATCATCTGGACTGGGATCGCAGTGTGGAGTGTTTCCAGTTCAACATTTCGGTTAGTTCTGTCCTCTCAGCCCTATGCGTTTCAACTGACCCCTTCAAACTATCTGTACAGAAGAACCCAAATGGATCATTTCTTGTTCTATGCGGCCAATCGCATGACTTCATTCTGGTGAATATTCCGAAAATGAAGCCGTATGCATCCTGGTGGTGTTGTGTCCTTTGCACAGTTGGTTTCCATCATATGCCAACTGTTGTCAGATATAATCCCCATCAGCTGGTTAAAACAATCCTACGGATTGTGTTACGTGCTTTGACCGAGACATGCGAATTCGGAGTAGAGTCGGCCGACATGCATGCTCTTCCCCTGCTTGTTATTCCGTCAGCCTAGCACGACGGTGACCATCGCATTCGTCAACCACAGGCGGCAGGAAACGCCCCCTGTCCCAAGGAGGTTATCTTGATGGCTTGCACATCAGTATGCTTATGGCGGGGCAGGCTTGCACCGCATCCACTTCACTCGATGTCAGGAAGACCAGAAGCGGCTTCTGAGATGCAGTGGCTAACAGAGTTGAATAGCTTTGATGTGTGAGCCATATACAGTGCGTGACCGATCTCACGAAATGTTGGCCAAAAATCTGGAATGCGATCCGATTAGGAAGGATTACTTAAATGGGGTTGCTATACTGATTATCATGCAGCATAAGTCTATAACATTTAGGACTCGCCAGGGTGTTGGCTTTTAAATGCACTTCTTCTTGACCTCCTGCAGAAACCACACTCGGCAAAAAATGGCTACTTAAGTAGCCTGTATTTTGCCTATTGCTTTTGGATGGTATTATAAATTCAAACAAATTTTTTAGAGAACATACACAAAAATATGCTTTCTTTTGCTCATTTGGTAGAAAATCACATTGTCTTCATATTTTATGCCCGAAGAAAGTGTATATTTCGGTATTAAAAAGGTTTCTAATTTTGAGATTTTTAAGACCGTGCGATGTCCATGCATGCAAGACCGCACATGTCCTTTTACTAATACTCCTCATGAAATGTACAACACAGTCCGGATCCATTGCATAATTTCATGAACTCTGTTTAATATATTCTTAAAGACATAGAAGAATATATGATTTTCTTTAAGCGGAAAGCATCCACCTTGTAGACTGAAATTACTGAATGGCGGAACAGGCTGGAAATTATTCGGGAATTTGGAAACTTTTTTAAAGCCTAAATATTCACTTTCTGCGGACATAAAATATGAAGACAATGCGATTTCCTACCGAAAGAGCAAAAGGAAGCATATTTTGTGCGTGTTTTCTATAAAATATCTTTGAATATATAAGGCCATCGAAAATCAATGTGCAAATGCATGCTACTTAAGTAGCCCTTTTTACCGAGTGTGATTTTTCAGGAAGTCAAAAAGAAGTGCATTCAAAAGCCGACATCCTTTAGAGTCCGAAATGTTATACCGTTATGCTGCATGCTAATCAGTATAACAACCCCACCTAAGTAATCCTTCCTAATCGGAAACGCATTGCAGAAATCTGGCCAACATTTCCTGAGATCGGTCACGCACTGTACTTTTCGGGACTAAAAAGAGGAGACGATGCCTGATATCGCGCAGGCTAGAATTCCTTTAAGTTCACATTCGGGAGCGACCACTGCTCACTTCTCATTCCTGAGGAGTGTCGAATTATCTCGTCCTTTGGAAACTTTCCAAGTCTCGAGGCACATTTGGTTGTTTTTGGTGAGAAGGTAGATGCAGCAGGTTGACCCCATCCTCTCTTTCCTCTTCTATGCCACCGTCAAGCCGACCGCAAATGAGATTGGTTGCAGTACCTGAAGTGCCTTCTGGTCCACACCTAACGCGTGCCAAACACCAACTCGGGTCTCGAGAAAACGAGAGGCGTCATGCGGACCACCCTTAGGGGGGTGGGGGGGGGGACATATCAATTTGTTTCTCTTTCCATGAGAAAATTGAGGTCAACTGACAATCTTCCAAATTACTACTTTCCTGGATGGTCGTTTTTCTCCTTTTAGTAGCCCTCAGGCCTCCTGTCAACTGGATCTCGTTTTATGTTTCGGTCCTGAGAATTGTCTCTTAAATCAGTCGTCAAAGCGGACTGAGCTGTTGCGTTAAACCGACACAGAGGCAGCACACGCGTGTACGACGCGCTGGATGGAGGCTTTCTACCATATCAGACATTGGGCCTGGTCTCACCTCTAGCCAACTTTACTCTAACTGACCACAACCGGTGTGGGGGGGGGGTTGAGATAGACCCAGCTCCATTGCAGTGCATCACTGCCTGACTATAAGAAGTCTGGCCGCGATGACCCGCCCTTAATTTGGCCTCATGACACCTCGAAGAGAGTTCCGAGAAGCCGGCCTCTGAAGTCCGGTCCGTGTAATCAACAGCACCCGCGTGGAACGTGTAGACGCAACTTTAACCACCTTATTAATGCTCATATCCGGCCGTGTTATATGCCCCAGTAGGATGACGCCAGTTGTGTGCGGAACAAAAGACAGAAAGGAAACCAGAGAACAGCTTTACTGCGTCAGTCGCCGTGTATACATCAACTCGTAATCCTTCCGTCCGTGGCTTCGTCTGGCTTGCGTGTTCCTACTGGTCCAGTCCTGAGCGCCCGCATGGCCAGGCCCTCGCGTGTTGTTCTGGGCCGTCCTAACAGGCCGTATTGACTTTGAGGCCTCGTGGGTATTGGACGGGTGATTCAGGTTCTGCGCATGTCCCCTCCCCCCAAAAAAGGAATCATTTTTTACGTAGACACTATCGCACCCATGAAACCGTGTCGGTCCATCTATCTCATAAACAGTTACTCATCGACATCCTAGTCCCTTTCCGCACCTCCACTTGCTTTTAACCCGCCTTGGTTGTTTGCATGTGTGCCCCTTCTTACACTTTCTCCTCCCCCCTCTCCCGCGGCTGCCTAGATAACTTTCGATAACACTGGGCAGTCGGGCCAGGTGTCGGTTCATCTTGATGCTCAACCAATTGAGATTGCTTGTGGCGTTGTGGGTAGCGAGTCCGTCGCCAGCCCCTCTGCTGCGCCTGAAGATGGCCCCCTCTCATCCTCCTTCCGACGTAACGTTCACCTCGCGGTGGACCTCCTCGCTTTCGACATGAGTCTCCTCTCCGCCCTCATGTGCCTCCGTTCCATCTGGATGGGTTGGTCGCTCTGGAAGGTAAGTCGACACTCAGAACCCCGTGTGGTGACATTCTTAGGCGTCAGTCCTGCCCTTTTAACTGACCGGACATGTTGAATACACTTTTACACCTAACCACTACTACTTGCATACTGTCATGCTCATTGTGCTTCTTCTAATCTGCGCACGAGTCTTTAGCGTTGCGCGCAGACGTTTTTTCGCATAGTTTCTGCCTTTTATGTTCGGGAACCCACTAAGAAACTCCAGTGGCCGTTTCTTCCTCTTTAGTTAGTGTACCCTGGAATCGGCTTTTACTGCCATCCACCCCAGATAGCTGTCTAATTCATGGCTTTAGGTACAGGAAGGTGTTTTTGTGTTCCGAATTAACTTATGTCATGCTTACTCAAATACCTCATGCGACTGCAAACAAACCTGATCTAGACGGTTTCAGTGATATCACCGACGGTTCCTCTCTGCTGGTTGCGATCTACGCTAACTGATCAAGTTAGATCAGCGTAGACTGTCCTTTCCCCACGAATTTCCGAGAACTACCTCGATATTTTGGCGGTCCGTGTCTGGCCAGGTCCGACTGAGAACGGTGGCACTGAACTCCTAGGGTGGGTGACAGGGAAAGTACCCGAGCTACCTCAGACGTTTTTCCAGGTGAACCTGATATATCCCTGCAAAATAGACCAGTCAAGGCGAAGCGGGCGTATTTCAAAGGATCACTTTCACTCGACGACGTTCAAAGGTCTCTAATTTCCTCTCGTCTTCCAGGCTTTATCAATCATACAGAAGGACTAACCAAACGTCTGCTTAGTGGAAGACTGTTCTGCCACTGTGTATTAGGTTAGGCTACACCCCAGCTTTGGTGGAGTAACTGCCTAATATTCACATTCTATCAAAACACAACTATTAGTATATAGATATCGATTGGTAGAGGGGCGCTCACCGATCGTTTCTACGGAACTCACACGTCCTGTTGTGCCTTACGGGCTCTCTCTCGAGTCCAACCAGCAGTCGCACAGCGGCGCATGACATAGGCAAAATAGTATTACTGACAAAGACAAGGGAGACTAGAATGGCCATTTCTAGCTAATTAGCTGTCGTCAGCCAGTCATACCCAATCCCGAAGTTTGAAACACCTGCGTTGATTTCTCTAGACTCCTAAATTATTGCCCATGTTGTATGGTACGTGAGTTGAAAAATTATATTGCCTGATGGGCATTACTCAAACTGATAAAATCGATGGACCTCCTAGGGAACTTAATTGGCGATCTTGGCAGGACACGGGAACGCGGACCTTCTCTCCCCCCCCCTCCCCAAATTACTGGTGGCTTTGTGCTAAATTCCAGGGGTTGCTGGTTTGGTTAAATGCTTAGGGTTGGGGTAAAATTTAGCACATGGAGATGCGTACCCCCTCTGTGACTTAGGGAAAACCCCTCTGTAGTACGAGCAGTCTATATTCCCGTGCTTGAGCGTCGCCAATGCGCCTGGAGAGTTCAGATTGATTCATTTTACACTGCCATATTGTTGATTTTCGACGCCCCTAAAAGTCCAATTATATTTCGTGGCAAAACATGCATAAAGTGTTCATTCTTTCACTCATTCGGTAGAAAACGACGTCTTCTTCTTCTAATTTTATACTCGAAGGAGGGACATAATTCGGTTTTTAAAAAAGTTTCTAATTGTGAGACTTTTAAATACCCTGAAATGGCCGTTCATAAATCTTTCTATCTCTGCATTTACCAATTTGGCTTTTAAAGTTAACAATATGGATCAAATCTACTGTTAATTTTTATGAACCCCATATGGTCCCCTTTATTACCTTAGAGAAATGTGGGGTTTTCCGTACGCCGAAAATATATGGCTTGTAGTTTGGAAACCCTGAATGCAAGTGTAACGGTAGAGCGCGTTCAAAACCATTCAGGAATTGGAAAAGTTTTTGAAAACCGAATTATACCCTTTCTTCGCGTATGACATTGGAAGAAGACGTAATTGTCTACCGAATGAATCAGCAAAAGAATGAATATTTTTATGCATGTTTTCCATGAAATATAACTGGACTTTTAGGGACATCGAAAATAAACTACAAAAATCCATGCTACTTAAGTAGTAATTTTCTACAAAGTGTAGTTGTTGCATGCAGTCGGAAGGAAGTTCATTCGTAGCCGGCATCCTGAGGTAATTGAGATATTATAAAATTATGTTGCAGGCTGATTAGTTTAACAACCCTACTTAATTCATCTTTTCGGAACGAAAACGCATTTCGGAATTTCATCTGACATTTCATGAGTTAGCCCACCTGCTGTACGAATCTCCACCTGGCCACCAGACGGAAAAAACGACTAATTAATCTATATGTCTTGTATCCATCAACATCTCATGATTACTCAAAGTCACCTAGTCGTATTTGGAACGTCACTTTAAAAAGCTCACTTCTGATTAACATTTAGTGAGAAGTTTTGGAAAATTTAAAAAGCAAAAGCACTTACTCCTCGTCTCCTTCTTCCGTCCTGCAGAAAACTAAACAGTTTTTCAGCAGTTGGTACGGAATCCGTCTGCACGGTGTCTTCTGGGAATTCGTTAATCCCTGGTACCTGCTGTTTTTGCTCAGTGATGCCCTCATTGTTGCCGGCTCCGTCTTCAAGCTGGCGAACGATACCAATGTAAGAGCATACACCCCACGCCGCCGCCTGCTGTCGGTTTCCATTCCCTCGTTTGATTAGCTGTGATTTTTTGTGTCCTTCCGACCTTCTTTCTGCCCTTTTCCCTTTGTCGCCCAATTCTGGTGTTACTTTATTGCCTTTTAGGTTTTAGAGCACTATAACGAATGGTCATACTTACTGGGTCTCGGTACCCTGTGCGTTTGGCTTGGGCTTCTCCGATATGTGGGATACTCCACTCAGACCACCGTAAGTCCGCCATCTCACACCTTCTGCTTGTCAAGATGTCGTTTTACCGCCTTTGTCAGGCTGGTTGGCACTCCCCTCCCCCAACTTCGGTTTTTTTTCGCCGTTTTGGTTCAATTGCTGCCCTGTTCACACCTTTGGTTTCTGGGCTGACGGCTGCTGACCCAAAAAATGCAATGGGCACCGAAACCAATGTAACCCACACAACAGTTTTATTGTGACCTCGGGCCATGTTGCTTTTAGTATTTTCCGTCAGCGAGTCTTTGACTGCAAAAGAGCACACAAGACAACGATTTCAGCCAGTAAAATGTATTCAATGAATCATCTGAAGTTTTGCCGGGGGGGGGGGTGCTTCTGAGCCAACCACGTCGTGCCTCTTGGACTGCTTGTCATTCCTGCTCCCCCGATGGGCAGATAAGTATACCCGAAAAGTTCTCTGCCCATGAGATGGGGAATTGGTCTACTGGGTAAACGAGGGAGACTTGGCTAGACGCAACTGTTAGGCGATTCGCATGCCTCAGTTATGTCTAGCGATACCGATTCGCCTAATTACTTTAATGTAAACAAGGCGGGAATGCGACTTTCGTCCCTTTTGACCTTTATAACTGCTGGCGTAACCATCGCAAGGGATTTTACCACCTCAAATTTCGCACCTTCATGTCCACCCTGGAGTGTCACTTCAGTCTCATATGTGACGTCATATATGTGACTGCGGTGGCTCTGCTTCTTAAACCGCTTGTCATTTCTGCCCTCCCCCCCCCTTTGTTTTTTTTCCTAGCTCCTAATACGAACAATTACTCGCTCGGTGCCAGGCCTTCTGCGTTTCTGCGCCTGCGCCCTCGTCATCTACTTTGCCTTTGTGCTCTGCTGTTGGGTCATCATTGGTCCCTACCACCTAAAATTTCGTACCTTCATGTCCACCCTGGAGTGTCTATTCAGTCTCATCAATGGAGACGACATGTATGTGACCTTCTCGATTATTGGAGCAAATCAGGGCCTCGGAATCTTCCTCTTTAGTCGCCTCTTCCTCTACCTCTTCATAACCCTATTCATCTACGTTGTCCTCAACATCTTCGTCACCATCATCTTTGAGGCCTACGAGGAGGTGAAGGTGAGCGAATGTCGGCTTCTGTTCTCTCGTCGGCTTAACTCAGCCGCTCACAGCGCACAGGTGGTGACATCGTGCCTTTATTCTTTCTGAGTCCCGCCAAGCTACAGCCGATCCTTTAGGGACTGAAAGAGGCAGGACAGTTTCCTTTCGGTTGTCTGCGGAGGACATGTTTGCGTTATGCGAGTTTCATTCTCACAACTCCTAAGAAGCATGTGGGGGTGAAGCCCATGGACGAGCCGTTCTTCTTGGAGCTCCAGTCTAAGACCTCAGTAGTTGCCTTTTCTGTAAGCACTGTTGGTAATGCTATTCTGCCTACATTACGCGCCGCTGTGCGGGCGTTGGCGGGGCTCTAAAGACAGCCCGTAAGGTACAACGGGACGAGTGAGTTCCGTAACATGATTGGTACGCGCCCCTCCATCATTGTTAGTATAACCAATCACAACCGACAGGACAACGAGCTCGTAGCTCAGTGGTTAGGGCGTTGTACTTCTAACCAACAGGTCGTGGGATCGAGCCCCAGGGGTTGCACACCTCGGCGTTGGGTATGGCTGTCTGACGGTGGCTAATACACCAGAAGTGGCCCTTCCAGCCTCTCTAGTCTTTATCGGTAGCGCTATTCAGCATCGTTTATCTTCAAATAAAGCCCGCTCACCTGTGTCTAAACCTCGTCAACCGTACCGTGGATGGTCCAGACTGCACTACAGATAAGTAAAGCCACTGCGAACTGTGTACAACATCACTATTCATCCAGCTGGTCTAATGATGCAACCACACTACACGACAAATTGTCGCTTCATATCACAACTGTATAGCCTGTTGGGGATTAACTTTCACCGATCTGGCGGAAGTTTAGAACGGGATTTGGACGTGCGGTTTTGTTTGGATTTCTCATCCAAAGCCTTAGCAGTCACCGTCTCCTCTGTCGTTTTCGGTGATACTTCCCTTCTTGGGCATTGTTTATTATCACATGTGCCCAAGCTTCCCCAACCGTATCTTAAATGCTCCTGAATATCCTCTAAAGGCTAGTATAGTCACTGCGAACTGTGTACAGCATCACTACTCATTCAGTGGGCTTGGTGATTTATACCGATAACATGGCAAATGATTGCTCTATATCGCAGTCCGTGGGCGAGGGGATCCCGAATGATGCTGAACCAGTTGGCATGCCAGTTATGTAGACCCGATAACGCAGGGTCAGAGTCAGGATTAAGGCGATCTTCCGCCACCTCCACCCTCGTCCTCCTCAGCTGACCAATCGGATTCCGTCTGGAGGGGCAGTCGGCTTCGAGTGGAAGTACGCCCGGACAGTATCGACCTCAGGCCAGCACAAAAAATGACCGAGACAGTTCAGTCGATAAGTAGTTAGATGAGGCTGTAGTTAGTTGACTCGTCCTACCTTCCTACCAGACGGACTGTATAGATGTGCGTTGGAGACGCGTGAAGAGAGACAACTTCGACAAATGGGCCGCAGACGTGATCCACCGACTGCCGGTCGAGTTCCTCCATCATTACTGTCTCCTAGTCAACTCCAGCGTTGGGTGTCTCGTGGCCAGCTCTTTAAGGCCCAATGCCCCGGCTCCAACCAACCTACCCCAGGCAAAACACTAGTTACACTGTGGCCCTTACGTAGTACCACGATAGATTTCCAACCATCTGCCATAAGTAGGCTCGCGTAGGTGGTCAGTGCCTTAGCAGCAGTAAACATCTCCAGTCACACCCAGCCAGCGTGCACTAAGCGGACTGGACAGTCACAGGACAGAACAGATGTGGTCTGGCTCGCTTTTGATGGACCGCTTGTAGGCAGCTGCATTGCAGTAAATAAACTATAATCGAAAGTATGGAACATCCGAGGCTCGAACTCGCGACCTGTTAGTTAGAAGTCCACGTCTCTAACCACTGGGCCACGAGCCCGTTGCCCTGTCGGTTTCGATGGGGAATATACAATGTTAGGGGGCGCTCACCATATGACTGGCTGACGACGGCTAGTTAGCCAGAAATGGCCATTCCAGTCTCTCTTCTCTTTGCCGGTAATAAAATACTGCCTATACCGTGCGCCTCTGTGCGGCTGCTGGTTGGGCTCGAGAGAGAGTCCGTAAGGCACAACGGAACGAGTGAGTTCCGTAAGAACGATCAGTGAGCACCCCCTACTATCGAAATATGACTTAATGCCTTACAGTTTACTAGTGATCAAAAACCGATGCGACCAAGCTGTTAATATATTCAAAACTGTCACCTACAGGCAAGGGTATGCTAGGTGGCTTCGCCTCTCTGATGATGCATTCGTGCGTAGACCGGCTATTACATCTGAATTTATGAGTATCCAACGGCATTACTTTTGTGTGTACCGGTCTGACCCGATTGCAGTAAACATCGTGGATTGCTATACGACCGCCTGCATGGCCCACAAATCCTTAGCTGAACGTCCAAAAAACGGAAGTACCAATTTCTTTCCCACAATGGATTCATTAAATTGTTCCTTCCGACTTTTCCAGCAAGCAGTCTTGTTGCAGAGCCAATGCTTACAACTCGTTTCTAGAGCCTATGTGGCTAAATTGCAAGGTATACAACTTTTTCGCTCACATTTCAGACAACAGCGAGCGTATGCCTGGACAAAGTTAGCAGCCGGTGGGGAGATAGGTAGCCCCGAAAAGTTTTCTGCTGATGAGGTTGGGAATTGGTCTACTGGATAAACGGGAAGTAATTGGCTAGACGCATCTGTTAGCCGATTCGCATGCCTAAATTACGTTTAGCGTTGCCGGCTCGCCTAATTACTTTAATGTAAACAAAGCGGAATGACGACTTCCGTGCCTTTCGACCTATATAATTTCGGGCGTAACCATCGCAAGGGCTGTTACGGACAGCGCCAGACTGCTAGCCTAAATTAAATCAGATTTTGAGGTTTATAACTTAACTGCATGTAGTGTCGATTGTCAGTTGTTCGGCGCAGATCCTAAAGCTCCCTCCCTCCCCCCTCTATAGCGTCGGAGACGTGCTGTTGCAAGGTAACACATATCACCCCCAGACTGCTTTCCTCTTGCTGCCCTCTGCTCTGGCACGATCGCAGGTAACTGTTGAGGTCTTTTCGAGAAAAACTGATAAGATGGCCAACTATCTCGTCGGGGACCATGTGGGCTTTCCTTTTTTTCTACTATTACTGACCTGAGTGGAAGGTGTGGTCCGTGAATCTGATTAGTCACCCCTATTCACCGACAATTTGAATAAGGACGAAATAAAAGTCCTTCCGTTCATTCTGTCCTCCTCGAGACAGCAGGTCAGACTGCGATGGCCGCGACGATGATAGAGCGCCTACTCATAACATCAAAAATCGCATCCTTGTAATTAAAAGTGATCTTGACTCAGTTTTCTGTGCCTACGTCATGGGTATTGCCGCTGTTCACGGTTATGTCATCACATCTCTTTTAGGAACTACAAGAGCTTGAAGACCACCCACCGACAAATCCGCTGTGGCACTTTATTCAGACGCCGACAGCAGCCGATCTCATTGACGGTAGTGGTGGTGGTGGCGGTGGCGGTGGCGATGGGGGCGACATTGATGACTTCCGCGTGATTGGAGAGGACCCCACCACACCCCCTTCCTCGCTGAATGTAACCACGGCGACGGTCGTTGCGTCGGCCACCGCAAACGCTACATCCGCAACGCCCACTCATCTTTATTGTCAGGACTCCCCAAGCGCTTCTCACCGGCGAAGCTCCCTTCGTCATTCCAGTTCTAGTCTATCCGTAGAACGGACGCTTTCCAAGGTTTGCATATTCCTCTCTCCTCCTCCTCCTCCGCCTCGTCATCATCATCACCATCAAACTTATCATGCATGGTTGCTTTCTATCCAATATTCTCCGTCCCGTCCGCTACCTTTATTTCATTTTCCGGCCTATTTCTTTCCTCCATTTCTCGTCTGACCCTTCATGTCCTCCTGCCTTAACCTTTCACATCCTGGCGTCTGGTCCTTCTACGCCATCAATTTTCCATCTCTGTCAGATTCTTTCAGTCATCTACCCTCATTGCCTGTCTTCCCCTGTCCTCTTTTTCGTCATCTATACGCACCATCGAATATCGCAATTTTTCTCCACTAACTTTCCTTTGCCAACTTCGATTCTCACTCGTCCTCTTTCTTGTCTTCTTCCTGGTCTCTATTACGTTTCGCCCTCCTCTCTCCTTATTTACTTTTTTTGGCAGAGTTCTGTATGCTGAAATAGTGAAGCCGATACTGGAAAATCCACCCCCACGGCACATCGGCGCACTCCTAAATCTGACGCGCTTGGGCCTGCCACTACGGCCTGGAGAATTCCTGACTGACTGGCTAGCTCGATCTTTCACAGTTTTGAGTACCAGGACTCCTGCCTAGCGCGTGGCCCTTACGGCACGCCCACGCGCTTGAGATCTGAGAGGACCGCCCCCCCCCCCCTCCTAATGCAGCCAGGCACCAGACCGTGTGTGGCACGCTCAGATTGACTGTTTAGCTTTGTAAATCACTGCATCCGCACTCACCTCCGGTGGGAGACGGTGAGTGGGGCAGATGCAGCCAAGGTCTGCCTTACTATAACAGCTCAACCGTCAATTCCAGCGACGTCCACCGTGTTTCTAACTCGCATGATGGGCGCAGGGACGGTGATGTGGACGTGAATTATTTTATTGACTTGCGAAGCACCCACCGCACTCGCTCCTCTCCCAACCGCCTGAACCCTCTGTCGAGGCAGAAGGACGGAGGTGGAATCAGCCGCAGGTGGCTGGCTTAAATCTGCGCCTGGGCGGGCCACCACGCACACCCCCAGGTGGCATTTGCTATGGACGCGCATCCCCATTAGCACCTTACGTGCCGCGATCTGGCCTCCGTGTTTGATCTAGCTCATCAACCGCGTATCTCGTTGTAGAGAGCAGAGTACGGACACGTCGCCGTTGCTGTGCCCACTCTGTGAGGCACTCGGGGGACGCCTAAATTTATGACGGCGCGCTAAGTGTTGTGGCTGAAGATACTACTCAGTCCCCGTAGTGAGTACTATGTGTGTGGAGTGAGAGGCCGAAGGACAGAGTCAGGTACAGTGGCCCTCATGCCTGTCGGATTCCATTTGCTCCTACTGTAATCTGCCGCTCGTAGTGAGGATCGCGTTGTGTGTGGTCCGCGTAGATGGGCCGCTTGTCTTTGATAGCAATTGCGTCCATCTCCGGTCATACCGACTGTGTCATGCCACTGACAGACGGTGGGTGTGGGAGGAAAGCGTGAGAAAGATGCGGTGCACGTCTGCTTCTCTGTGAACTAATTCACCCGTAAGACACTGCCCTTTGACCCACCTCCTGGGGCAGTAGTGGGCCTCCTCGTCCTCGGTAGTCTAACCACTGACACACAGTTCCCCTTCGGTCAGCTCCGCCTTTGCTCTTCGAGTCAATGGGGATCCGAAGCAGATCACTGACAGAAAGTTTACATGGTAATGTTTTATGAGTGGCGTGAAGCACGTAACCCCCGGGCCCTCTCTGTGACTTCCTTCACGCAGGAAGAGTTTACAGAACTTGTCGTTAGGTTTTAAACAAAAAGAACTGTCCACTGCGCCAGAAAGGTTTTTCTTGCTCGAATTCCCCGCATTTTTTCTGAAAATGCCGGGATTCCTCGTAGACTGATGTCGAGAGATTGCAAACAGTTCCCATCCTAGTGGTGCATTCTTATGATGGCCTGGTTCGAGAAGAGCGGGCCCTTCCCAGTGTGCACTTGGTGACGTGGAACCTCGGCCAGATGTCTGTCGCTTTTGTAGGGAATGTTTTTAACTGCAGACTTCCATCGTATCTCTACGCTCTTGGACGCAAATTGCGCTCATTCAAGCGAATGGTTAGTAGCTACTGGACGAACAGTTTGCGACCTCATTTATTTACTGTTCTAGAGGCCCCGCTGTCAATTACATGTATCTGCATCAAATGTTTTTCTCTCCCTCATTCCCACCCCTTCCTTGTACATTTCCTCCACTTTTTCTCCTTCTCTAGGACCAGTCATTCGTAGCTTACGGGAGTCCGGACAGGGGCCGTTCGTCGTCTCAGTCGAGTGTGGCAGTTATCCCATGATTCGGTAAGCTGAGGGCCATTGCTTTAATTAATGTGCTACGTCGATTAAAACGTAACATGAAAAAGACCGCTGTCTCTTCTGGTCTCCTTACTCGCATGACCCAATCCCAGACCTGCCAGCTGTCTTACGGATCCGTAAGCACTAGTTCGTGCGCCTACCAACGGAGCCGTCTGGTTTGCTTTCGCCGTCGGAGGGAGAGACCGCGGTTCTGCTCTTTTGCCACCTCCCAGACTCGGGTTCCAGTGAGACATTTGTATGACTTTCTTCAGCGCACATTTCGATGGTGCGCCACGGAAACAGAAAAGCAGTCGTGCCGACTGCCTTGCCGTAGGAAGTAGTCCGTCCTCGGGACATCGTCTGACGCCTCGCACTCACCTGTGACTTCAGCAGACTGACCTCAGCACATCAATCACACGCCGGTGACCTCCCTGGTGGACAGGTGATGATGGCAGAGCAGATTAGCTGGCGCACGCGTGGGTTTATATTTTGAGTCTAGTTCTCGAGTATTTGGCCAGCCTGGCCAATCGCGCGGCAGTACGTGTAAGCAGAGACTGCATTTGAGCCACTGAACCTCCTCTCCGTATCCTTTGTAAGTCCAACCAGAATAATTGATTGATGATCTTCCGATCGTCCAAGAACCCGGTCAAATCATGGGTCTGTCCGCTTTAGTTCCTGGCCTCGTGGGCGACCTTCCTACTCCACTTTTGTGTCTTAGGATTGTGTTGGCATAACCGGTGAAGCTCTCTTGGCCTGCGCGTAGTATTCACCATATCGCAATGTCGCCGCATGGTCCGCTACTGCATATTCGCAGCTAATCTTCACTGAAGGCCGTTTCGTAATCCGCCTAGCCGACACTACGTTTACCGTTTTTTCCCGGGAGTTCTTGTCTTCCAGGTATAGTTTAGTAGTAGTATAGTAGTATATTCTAGGGTAGTAGGCAATGCCCTTGATGACCTTGTTGAAAAACAGCACATACAATATAAATATTGAATGCACATCGTACTAACACTTTGCCAGTAGGATGTGCATTTAACATTTATATTGTACGCACCGTTTTTCAAAAGGGTCATCCTGCGCCAACCAGATCGCGCATGTGGCACGCGCAGACAGGCTGTTTACAGTGAGTGACCGATCTCGTGAAATTTTGACCCGAAATTCTGAAATACGTTTTTGATTAGGGAAGATTACTCAGGTACGGTTACAATATGGATTATTATGCGGCATAACCCTATAATGTTTCGTGCTCGTCAGAATGTCGGCTTTTGAATGCACTCCTTTTTGTCCTCCTGCACAAACTACTCTCGGTAAAAAATGACTACTCAAGTAGCATGCATTTTTCCCATTTACTTTCGATGGTCTTATAAATTCAAGTATGTTTTATAGAAAACACGCATAAAAATATGCTTAACTCTGCTGATTTGGTAGAGAATCACTTTGTATTTAAATTTTTTACCTGAAGAAAGGGTATATTTAGTTTTTGAGGAAGGTTGGTAGAAAATCCCATTGTCTTCCCATTTTTTGCCATAACAAAGGTTATCTTTTGGTTTTAAAAAAGTTTCTAATTTTGAGTCTTTTAAGACCATGCAATGTCCATTCATGCAGCATCGCATATGTCCGTTTGCCAATGCTTCTCATTAAATGAAGAACATAGTCCGCATCTATTGCGATATGTTATGAACTTTGCATGGTACCTTTTAAAAGGTATAGCAGAATGTATGAATTTCCCTACGCCAAAAGCAAACACCTTGTAAACTGAAATCCCTAAAAGCTAATGCAACGACGGATCAGCCTCGAAATTACTCGGGCATAGAGAAACTTTTCCGAAACCTAAAAATACACTTCCTTCCGGTAAAAAAATAAATAAAACGAAAGTGGTTCTCTACCAAACGGATGAAAGAAAGCATATTTCTAGGCCTGTTTTATACAAAACATATTCGAATTTATAAGACCATCAAAAAACAATGTGAAAAATGCACGCTACTTAAGTAGTCCTTTCCTACCGAGTGCGGTTTCTACAGAAGGTTAAAAAGGAGTTCATTCAACATTCAAAATCCTGCCAAGTTCGAAACATAGGATTATGCCGTATAATAATCCATTTGTAACCGTACCTGAGTAATCCTCCCTAATCAAAAACGCATTCGAGAATTTCGGTCAACATTTCGTGAGATCGGTCGCTCACCGTAGCTTTGTCAGCCATTGCGCACGATTCCGCATCCGACCTTTTTGACTCTCTTGAGATGAGGGTCAGGTGGGTGAAGGAGGAAAAAGTGCTGTAGATGCGACGCATTTCGACAGTTACTACAAACTACTTCACACACAAGTCTCCGTCCCTGCGCACGCCCTTCTGTCGGGTGGACCTCGTCGGTAATGACTGTCGGACTTTCAGCTATCTCAAGCGTCTGAAACGCTATCACTGCATGGCTACTGTTTGGTGCGTTTCAGAGCCTACCCGCGGATCCACGATCGGATCAAAGTTAACTGTCACGTGATCAGCTTATGGCGCCACATTTCGTTCCGGCTGGCTGGGAACCGCAGAAAACTCGTTAATGTGCACCTCACTTCAGTTGGAGTACAGGGCCGTCTAGTTGTGGCAACTGCCCAAACCCTAGAACATAATTTTGTTTCCTCCAGACTGGCGTTTTGGCCTAGTGTTCTTCGGTGGCTCAATCGTTGTGGCGTTTTGCGTAGTGATATTAGACTCGAATCATAGACCTGCCAGTGATCGAAGCAATTGTGCGGTTCTCTTCTTGACATCTCACCTTACCTCTCCCTTTTTTTCAGAACGATGCGTATCCGTCGCGAACTGCCGGAAGGTTTTATTCCCTAATTTCTTTTTCTATTGTCAACTGAATTTCCCCCTTCTCTAATTGCTTCTGCTTCTGTAAAGCTGATTATCGTCCCTGCCCACTGACTTTTTTTTAGTAATTCTTATTTTTTCACTTGGATTTTATTTGAATCTCTCCCCACTCCCGCAAGCCAAATCTCAGGAATGGCACGTTTCGCGCCGTCTCTGTTGCTCATGTGGCCACATCCTTTTCCCTGTACATGCTTAATTCTGATTACGGCATCTGCCCTTTCCTGTTCTCTGCGGGGGGGAGCTCTCTCCTTACTGACTGTATGCGAGGAATTGACGTCATCTCTGAAGTCAGGGCCGAAGCCGAGACAAAAGGTGTGAGCTGTGTCATCTGCAAACCGCCTGTGTAGAGGTTTCGAACCAGAAATGGGTCATACGAAGCAACGTTCGCCTGTCCCTCTTTCTCCCATGTCCACCTCTCCTGGTAGACATGGGAGCATAAGAAACGTGCGGACGACAGTCCAACAGTCGTAACCGACGGCGTCCGCCGTCTTCCCATTGGAAGTGGGCGCGCCCCCCGCGGTGTTCTACAGTGTGTGGGTGAATAAAGTCGCCAGATCCGCCTGTTTGTTCATAACCGCTGCGAAGGCTAAAGTATTTTCGCTCGACTCAAAGTGTTTAGACACTGGTATCATACCCGCTAACTTTAGATGTCCGACTTTTTTTCGCGTCGTAAATGTCCGGGATGTCATAATGTTTCCAGCTGGTCGGAAAGCGAGTATTCGTTTAGGTTAAAAAGAAGGGTTTCGAAATGCAGGTCTTTGCGAAATAAGCATGTTTTAATGTGGACGAATGAGAAGGAGATCGGGTCTTGAGGTTGATTTGTAAACTAACGGTTTTGGCTAGGAGTGGCCTCGTCAGGGGTAAATGTCCTTTCAGCTGGTTTGTAGGGTCGGTTCTTACTCAACAGTTTAAATGACTAGGAGGAACCTGTTTAATAAATTTGCGAATTTTGTTCCTTATCTGGGGCTTGAACTTCCCATTGCCTCAACTATCACATTCAGACTTTAAGAAAGCCAGTCTAAGTGACTCCGATGCACGGTCCCTAGTAAGTAAACTGCTAGTTGCTTCTATTTGACTTTCTCCAACTAGATAGCTAGTTAGTGGAAGAGATCGCAAAGTAACTTCAGCATACCGACTCACACTTTGAAAATGATACCGGCAGGCATCTAAACCGAGACATACGTGCTACCTGGCTGATTTCAGTAGCCTTGATTTTTAAAGTGAACGTATTGGGATGGGGAAAGGAGCAGGGCACCTTTAATAGAAGCGATAGACGAGGGGCAGTAGTGTGTATCCACGTGAGAGGGAGTTATAGAAAAAGAGCCGATCCGGGATAACAGCACCTTTCTGCCAAATTGTGTCTGTCGTGGTTATATCCCCGGAAGTCCCATTCAGGCTATTGAAAACTTGCCCTTGAATTAAAGTGTTTACGAACGCCGGGGTCAGAATGGCGACTCGAAGTTGATTGATGCGGCCAAGGCCGAGAACCAGCAATCTGTAATTCCCATGCTTACGACGTCTATCACCTCTCAAGGGGTTTACCCGCATCCCACAGGGAAGAGGTTACACTCTGCATTTCGATATTATTATGAAAAGACGGGAGCCCTTTAAGGAATCTTTTATTCTCCCCTGAAACATTCAGTAAGCAAAGGTTGAAAAGTCTGAATTCCATTTTACGATTTCGAGCAGACCGGGGCACCATTCACTCTCCTAAACGGGTCAACATTTGCGTATGCAAAGGACCCGTTCAAGGGGAGGACACTCTTCACTCATTTGGACGTTTTAGGACAGAAGCAGCATTAGCATGACAGAAGGGTGATTTCGCATTTGTATTCAGCGATTCAGGCGAGACAACTTCTGTGCTGGTGTACTTCTGCCAAAATTCAAATAGTATTGATGTCCACTTAGTCGTTTGCTAGTACTCTTTCCCTCCCGTGCGATAGTCTTGGCGCAGTGCCCTTTCGATTCTGAACATTTTCTACCCCGCCTTCTTTGGGATTTCAGGAAGTGAAAATAGTTGTCTACCTACGGCATATGCTTCAACTGGCACTTCATCTTCCACGTGCTGACAACATTTAGAAGCAACTTGACCACTTGTTGCACGTGAAGTTCATTCTGGTTCGAGCATCATAATTCTGATGCACGAGTACCTGTTAATTATCAGTTTTTTAAAGGAAAATCGAGGGTTGATTGTGACATTTGGCTCCAATTCAGATCCCATTGTAGGGCAGTTTACACAAGACATTTCTGAGTCACCTTGCATCAGTAACAGTTAGGGTCATGCTTGATTTTCCTTATTTTTCAATCTTAAATATATTACTGGCCCAGTTGGTAGCAAGCAAACGTTTCTACGCAGTAGTGTGGGGAGTAATAACAGTGGATGTCTGCAAGGTGCCGTCAAGTCAGCCTCGGTAAGGTGCTGTGAAAAATCACAGAAAAGGTCATTCTTGGCTATGTTTTATTCTTCCACCAATGCCAAACCTTATGAGCTCAGTCAGCATGCGTCGTTCGGAGGGTGATCGTTTATCATATCTCGTTTTGCAGCTTAAATGCTGAGTTATAAACCAGGCTGCTAAGGGTATACGTGCAACATATATTGTATTTCTGTTACCAGGCAATGCCCGTGACGCTATTGAAAACGTCATAAAAAACAGTGATGTTAAATAAACATGGTGTCAAAATGTTGGTAGTAGCGTGTTTGGTTACAGAAAAAATACTCGGCAATGCGGAACTGCAACCCGAACACCAGCAGTTTATTTGAATGTTACGTGCCGAGCGGCAGATGGTCCTTTTCCTGTATAGTTGAGATCATAAATGCAGTTATATTCCATCAGTACGACATATAGTCATTTATGTACGTTGCGGGAAAAAATGCATCAAACGTTCAGGGATGCGTTCCATAGGGAGTGGAATAAGGAAATATAGCTCATGGCTGGCCGTTGACAGTGGTGCAGGGGAGCCGTCGTTTATTGAAAATCGAACGATCCAACTGCTTTTTGAATACGACCACTGTGCCATATGTCGCTATTTCACTTGGAAGTGGGCTTCAAGGTATAAGTTCCCGCTGACTCAATGAAAAATGCCGACGATCTGGGCATATACGCTCCCGTATGACATTATACGATGTCAACGCAGGTGACCCATTTGCTAAAACCCAAAGAAATCTTCCGACGTGCGCGAAAATCAATGCCCGCGGTTAATGTGGAATGCGCATAACAAGTCAAATCTCATTTGTCTACTGGATGGGCTAAACAAATTTAACTGAATCAGTCTTCTCGGATATGACAGTGTCCTAAGACCGTCGACCAGTTTTGTCATCCGTCCTAGAACCTGCTCGATGGCATCATTGCCTTTATTCATTCAGGGCATCTATGCTGGCATCTCATATTCCAAATGTGGTATGGATAGCAGTGCTCGTAGGACAGCAAGTTTGAACTTCTCCAGACACCTAGGTCGTTGAGCGTTTCCACTTCTTTTAGTGGAACCCCATTTGTGGTGTACTGGTGTTTTGGGAATCACCTCCGTGTGGATTTCAAGCGCAAGACTACATATTTGGATTTTTTAGACGCTTGAGATCACTTGAGATTGATTTCTTGACTGGGCTAAGGTTTTCGGGATAGCTGTCAGGTGTTGCACAGTCAGAATCTTTTTGTTATCAACAGTGAAATAAAATTTATCTTATTCATTATATTACGGGCCTAGTCAAGGTACGTGGCAACTGTACAGATCTTGATTATTTTCTGAATGAATAGCTTAATGGCATTGCACTCCAAATAACACAAAACACAAAAATTCCTTATAATTCACATGTGATAAAAGTTGATGCGGAAAGGCAGTGAGGTAGAGCAGTTTACTTATAAAAATTATAGCATTCGGTAGTCTGATATGGTTAAAACAATCTTTTAAAACTTCAGGAAAAAAACCCAAAACTAACTGCGCTATTTTGTGGTCGTTTCCACTACCTGGCTACGGATAGCCTCTAGACATTAATTGCGTTGTGTTTGGCTGCATCTCGAGGTTTTCAATATGTCCTGCCGTGTCACACAGATGATTGAAAAGCGCATAGTTATTCAACATGACTATTTGCTGAGGACCTGTTTATATTTCAGTGCAAGGCTAAGAAGGTAGAAACTTTCGAAGCTGCAGGATATGTGACAAAACGTAGGTCCCATTAGAAGTTCACCAAATGCTTACTAAGATAGGAGACGTCGAGCGCATTTAAGTTCTCAACGCCGCTGTGGACACTTTTTGACGTCTACCTGTTAAGCACACCATCTCAAACAGGAAAGCGATGATTTTGTCCCTCCTCGGTCAGATTATAAACTTGAGTCCGCTTAATTCATTTTCTAAGTGAAAAATGATCAGACGTCAGAAATCCTTACGTTATGCGTATAGAGAAGCAGAAAAGGAAGACTGATCGAACCTAGAAGTAATTTAATATCTGGCGTCTCATTTGCTTTTACTCACGGGTGACAGCCCTGGTGTCACTCTCTCATCCATACTGTTGCTATGGTGCCCATGGTTTCTGCCCCCCAATTTCGTTGTCATGGCCGTTGAGCCTCCTGATCTACTTTGCAGCAGTGGTTTGTTGCCTTTAATTTGGTTATTTCTGTTTCCACACTAATCATATTATCTATTTATGCTGAATTACGTGCAAGATTCATAATCTGCAAATCCGGGGTTCGAGAGAACAGTCATGAGAAGTTAAGGTAATAGTGTAGCGGCTGAAGACATCACAGGGTAGCACACACGGGTAACGTGGAGCACTAGATATAAATCCTGACTAATCTGATCTGAAGAGTGTTGTGAAACAGGTCAATGATCTTATCAAATCCGACAGTAGAAAAAGTCAAATGGTGCGCATACGTATACCAAAAGCAACTAGATATGTACATAGGGAAATGTTGAAAAATACAGAGGAGGGATGAGAATTAATTAATTAAATATTTTTATTAAAGACCCGTCGGGGT